CAACCTGAACCTACCCTGCTACAGCTTGATGCCATTTCCTCTTGTCATGTTCCTGTTCCCTGGGAGCAGGCTGAATTTATTTTTATATGACACTCGTGCTTAGCTTTTCCTTTTCTTTTAAGAACCAAGGGGTTGGCTCTTGGTGAACATGTCAGAGTTACTGACTGGGAGAACCTTCCAAGACACTTTACTCTGTGTAGCTGCCTTTCACGTGGTGGTTTTGTTTTTACTCAGCAGTGCTGTGATTTTTGCTTTGTACACAAGTACAGAAGAACCAGCATCCCATCCTTTACTCTTTCTGTGTTTGCAGCCACTTGAATCTGAGACATTTGGTCTTTCTGGGTGGCACTTTGACACATTTTTGGAGCTGTGAAGCGTGGATGTGTGCCTTGTGCCTTTGCAGGTGGGTACCAAATGGAGTTGGTGGCTGGTTTCCATCTTCTGAATTCTGGCAACCAAGTTTATACCCTAAGAAAGGACTGGCCAAGGCTGTCGCTCTCTGACGCAGGGAATGCCTTTGTGGGGTTGCACCTCTTTGTGTGAGCTTCAATTAAAGAGCAAGCTGTGAATTATTGCTTTTAAATGCACATTTCTCCTTCTGAAGTCACAGCTGTGGGTGAATTCAACTCGTGTGTGGCTGTTGTGGTGGCACAACTGTGATCCAGTATTATGGATGTTTTCTTTTGATAGGAATCTGGTGAGGTACATGCAAAATATGTGCAGCCCTTGGGCTCTTGGCAGGGGGCCAGTGAGACTGCCAGCGATATCTGGGTGCTTCTGATCTCATCCGGAAAGTCTGAGCTGCTTCATGTTCCCATGTCTGTGTCATATGGAGATAAAGGCAGCCTGGAGTCCTGCACGGATGGGCTCGCTCTGTCTGCCACAGTCTGTGCTCACTGGTGGCACCAAAGGCCATTTCCCTGCTGCCTGCAGGGCTCCTGGTGGTGTTTTGGGTTGTCTCAACTGGTTCTTCTCTCCCCTGTGGCTCCTTGCAGCTGCTGTCCCAGTACAGAGCTTCACCCCACATTGCTGTCAGGCCATACAGGAATGATTTGGCAGGACACAGTTTTCTTAGGGAGAAAGGAGAGAGCAATATTAGCTGTGAGATTGGGGTTTCAGGGTGGATTTTGCAGTGTTGGGACTTTATGACTACAAACCATAAGGATTCTACCTGAGCCAGTTGTGTGCCTGTGTGTTGTGTTGGGTGTCTTCACCAAGTGTTTGATCTGCCTTGTGCTTGGCTTATTGTTCATCTGGGCTTCCAAAGCCAGTTTAAAGGACTCCTTTGGAATCCAAAGCTGGCCTTGGAGCAGATGCTGGCCTGCCCAGGAGCCAGGGTCCCTTCCTTGCCTGCAGTGCATGGCAGGTTTGTTTGGAAATCTGGGACCTGCCACTTGAAAAGAGACTTTTCCATCAATAGCTAGTTCTGGTTTTCCAATGATAATGTGCTTTTGCAGGAGGAGGTTAAACCCAAAGGATTCACTTTTCCCTGTATGTGGCTGAAGCTCATACATATCCCCATACATTATCCTCGTGACTGGGATCCCTGTTATCCCTCTGTGGGTATGGATTGTGGCACAGGGCATTGGGATCCCTGTTATCCCTGTTATCCCTGCATCCCGGGGCTGGGATCCCTGTTATCCCTGCTATCCCTGTTAACCCTGCATCCCAGTTACCAGGGATCCCTGCCCATGTTCCCAATGCCCTCTAGTGGCTCCTGCCTCTGTGCTGCAGTTCCATAGGGCACGGCCTGCAGCTCCAATCAAACGGCAAAATCCTTGTGTTTCCAAAGGAAAATACCTTCTGTGAATTTTTGCCGGTTGCTTGTTAATTCATCTTTATTTATTTGGGTTAAATCCCGGCCCTTCCCTTAGGAAAAACGTTCTTGTGAATTCAGACACCAGATAGTAAATGGATGTCTCATGGATCTTTAAATCCATAGCAGTTTTCTATGGGGACTTATTAAAGAATGTTTTGTTCCTTACATTAAAATGTATATTTTCTTTCTCTCTAAACAAGTAGTAACTGGACGGGGTGTGCTTGCTGCTGTCACTAGAACCACACTTTGATGCTTATGTATGTGCATTAATTGCTTTGAAAAAGTAATTTTTTTAAAGCAGTGGGAACAACGCCTTTGAACTCGTGCTCTCAAATAATTTTTGAGGGAAAATTAGTATTTTGTGACGGTCAGAGTGTCCCTCCCAGCTCCTTTCCTCTGCAGTGTCCAGCACAGCTGGGCCATGCCAAGGCTCTGAGCTCCTGCCAAAATCCCCAGGGTGTCCTGGCTGCACAGACACGGTGCAGGTTTGGTTTGCTTTGGTGGTGAGGTGTGGAACACACGGGCTGGGTGTGCTGCAGGTGGGCTGCTGCAAATGTGCACAGCTCTTCTCAGCAGTGTCTCAGAGGAGATACTCCTTGAGGCTTTTGGGAAAATGAATGGCTGCAAGAACAGCTTCATAGAAGCAGGGTTTTAAATTGAAGTGTTGGGCTTTTTTCCTTGGGAGGACCATACATGCTGTGAAATGCATAAAATCTGTTAAAAGTCCAATTTGGTTTGTTTGCCTCTTTGGGGGCACGGCTCTGATTTCCATCCTCATCCTCCCTCTGAGAAATACAATGTGTACAAATGTACTTGTGTATATTTGTTTCTTTGTTTTTTGGGAACTCAGATAAACTGCTTGAGAAGACAGCAGATAAGTACACGACACAGGCAGAGCTTTCCTGGTGTTTCCCGGTGCTGCAGCCAGGTCCTGGCAGAGCAGAGCAGGGCTGGGCTCCCTGCAGGGCCCTGCTGCTGTGCCTCAGCCAGGGGAGGATGCCCTGGCCTGGGGGTCTCAGGGCTGCAGAGATGGGACAGCTCCCACCAGCACAAAATAACCCGTGCTGGTTTTAACTGGGCCCGAGGCTGCAGCCCTGGGTTACCTGTGAAGAGCTGGCTGTGCCTGAGCAGTGCTGGTGCTGCTGGTTCACCTCTGAACGTGCCCAGCAGTGTTACACTCAGGTTTTGTTTTTTTCAAGCCCCTGTTCCTTGAGCGAGATGTCCCTGCTGTCTGAAGGGCTCTCCTGGGGGTCCTGTCCCTGCTGGGATCCCTGGAGCTCCCCCTGCTCCCATCCATGCAGCCCTGGGCTGGCTTTGGGTTTTGGGGCTCCCAGTGAAGGAAGGAAGGAAGGAAGGAAGGAAGGACAGGTCCCTGAGCACCTTGGTCTGGGCACAGAGCCAGGGCTGCTCCAGCTGTTCTGCCAAGGCAGGGATCCCCAAACCAGCCTGCCTGGGCACCAGGGCACCCCTTGGAGCTGGTCTGGGGCATTGGGCCACTCAGGGTCCCTTGGGTAGCCCTTCTCTGCTTTAAACTGCCCATGGGGATGGCTCCCTGCTCGTGGGTTAGGCTGGGTTTGGGGGATGGCTCCCTGCTCGGGGGTTAGGCTGGGTTTGGGGATGGCTCCCTGCTCGGGGGTTAGGCTGGGTTTGGGGGATGGCTCCCTGCTCATGGGTTAGGCTGGGTCTAAGGGATGGCTCCCTGCTCATGGGTTAGGCTGGGTTTGGTGATGGCTCCCTGCTCGGGGGGTTAGGCTGGGTTTGGGGGTGTTTGGTGAAGGTCAAGTATCAGCAGGTGTTGGGGATCCCTGGGGTGTATCAAGGACAGGTAGGGGAATTGTCCCTGGGGAATGGGTCCTTGGAAGGCAGAGGGTTGTTCTGGGAGGGGAGGTGGTCAGCACTGCCTGGGCCTTTCTGTGAAGGCAAAAACTGAATACTTGGGTCAGAAATTCATGATCGTTTTAACTGATGACGAATCAATTACTGAAAACAAATCCCTGTCAGGAAATAAATACAGAAGTAATGGCTTGGCTTTCATTAGTGAGCACTTAAGAAGTGCTAATGATTTGAAAAAGCACAACAGAAGAGATCTGAAAGGAAAATGACAATATCAGATTTATTTTCAATTTTCATCTGCTTCAATTAGAATTAAATCTGAAAAATGAAGACGAATACCTGCACGTAAGGAGCACAGTAATGGCTCAGTGGCTTATCAAGGAGAACTTTGGTTTGCACCTACTGCTTCCTGCTGCTTTTGACTGGAATTTTGTTCCATGTGACTGGGCCAGGGAGTCTCTGTAGGAACCCACCAACACAGGACAGATGAACCATTCCAATCACCAGCCCTGTCTGTTGGGTTAAATCCTAAGAAACTGCAGAAAAGTTTATTTTCAGAAGCTTTGTTTCACAGTAAAAAGTGGAGTCAAGAGTGGTCTGTTACTTTCTTGTAGAGACCAAGTATCAAAGTAAAGATTGGAAATGCAAAGGCAAATTCACTCCTTTATTTCCTGTTTTAGAGGAAGCACGTGCCTCTGCTTTCTGCTGAAATCAGCCTGAACTGTGCTCACACAAGGTGTAGTTCCCTGTCTTCAGCAGCAGGGAAATGGGCTTGGGCCATCAGAAGGAAAATCCTTGGAGAAGCAACTTAAACTGGGAAAAATTACTCTTCAGGGAGCAGCATCTTCTTAAAATCCATCTGGTTCTTTCTCTTGCCATCCAGCAATGTTTTTTTCTGGTTAATGGAAGTTATTCTGAGTTTTCTGGTGGAGATCTTTTCTGTTTCCCCTCAAAGGCCGGATAATACAGTTTTACCGACCACCTTCTCAGTTCACAGTAATTTAACTTTTTAATAACTGGTTTAAAGAATGTATCATCTGTATTGCATTCCTGCTTGGTACTGGGAGGGTTCATACTTCCCTACTAGGAGCTTTTCTGTATCTACACAGTGGTTGCATGGGATGTCTCTGTGAGTCTGAAAAGATGTTGCAGTAAATGCATGGATTTTGTAAGTGAAGGAAATTATTTAGGAAACAAGGCAGAGTTAAAAAGGAGAGCAATCAACGCTGGGTTGTGTTTTGTGTAAGGAATTGATGAAAGGCATTGCTAAACGCTGCTCTTGTGGGGTGGTTGCATTTTTACCCAGCAGTGGAAGGATCCAGAGCTCTCATGTGTCTCCTTTCTGCAGCTCCAGGGCGGTTGATGGAGTTATGATTCTCCCCGTGCTGATGGTGATGGCGTTCCCGTCTCCCAGCTGGCAAGGTGAGTGCTGCGTGGGCTCGGGGTTCCCAGTGTGTGTTTGGTAACTCTGCATGGCTGCTGCAGTTTGGAAAGTCACGTCTGTAAGTGCTTTACACAGCTGTGTGCACGTGAAGCTTTTCTGACACACACTGCGTTTAAGGGAATAAGGGAATAGTATTTCCACTGCCATGGAAAGGCCGGAATGGTTCATTTGGAGATCTCTTGGATATTTTGTGAGATAAGCCCCTGAAAGATGTGTACTCTCTGCTTCACAACCACCCTTTGGAAAACATTGGCTTTCTGGGAGTAAGTTAGTTTTTTCAGTTTTAAATTTAAACTTACTTGCGAGACTAAGTACTTGTGTGTCTGCTGTGGCATGTCCTTGTCAGCTGAAATAGCTGAATTAGAATCGTTACCTCCTACTTAGTGGTTCTTCAGCACTACCTGAAAACAATATCACTTCCTTTAAGCAGATTTGATTGTCCCGTGATTTCATTACCTCTAAGTGAAGCTGTTAAGGACAGGGTGATGTTTTTTCCTGGTTTTTTCCCTTTTGCAGACGAGGAGCGGAAGCTGAAGATGGTTCCCTACGAATGTGTGTGTGAGGGCATCTCCTGTGGGAATGGGGATCGGTGCCAAGGCCAGCGCTGCTTTGCTTCCCTCAGCATTAACGACGGGGCCAAGGTTTACCAGAAGGGCTGCTTCCAGGTCTATGAGCAAAGGAAAATGACCTGCAAAACTCCTCCATCCCCCAACCAGGCCGTGGAGTGCTGCCAGGGACACCTGTGCAACATGAACATCACTGCACAGCTGCCCTCTGCCAAAGGTGAGAGCTGCATTCGTCAGCAGAGCATTTGGACGAAGAGGAGAGGGTTGGCTTGGTCTGCTGGCTGGCAGAGAGGTGGCTCCAGGGCTGGCTGAAGGAAGGGTTTTGGGGCACAGGATGCCCTGTGTGCCCTGGTCCCCACCCTGGGCCCTGCTGGCACACACTGATGCCCAGGGGGTGGCTGGTCTGGTCTGGGCAGTGAGGGGGCTGCAGTGCTTGGGGTCAGCGTGGAGGTGCTGCCTGTGAGAAGTGGCTGTTCCTCCGTGCAGGTGTGCTCACACCTGCCTGTGGCACAGCCTCTGTCATGCTGGGCGGGCACCGGGGTCAGGGTTGGTGTCTGTGCTAATGGGTTTAAAGACTTTCTCTGGGAATCTGCAAATTAATTTTTTTCTCTCTCTTTTCCCACTTTTTCCCTTCCCCCCTCTCTTCCAAGGGCAAACCTTCCAAGGAGAGGCTGCAGGTTACAGCATGGAAACACTAATCATCGTTATCCTGGCTCCTGTGGTAGTGCTGATAGTTTTTTCTGCAGTAGCTGTGCTGATCATCCGGAGAATACAGAAGAACCACATGGAGAGGCTCAATTCCAGGGATGCAGAGTATGGCACAATCGAGGGCCTCATAGCCTCCAACGTGGGGGACAGCACGCTGGCAGTAAGTGACCTCCCTGTGCGCAGGCTGTGAGTTCTCCTCACCCCTGACCCTCCTCTCCTCCTTCCCTCTGGCCACTGCCAGGGGATGCCACTTGGCCTCAGGACTCGAGTGGTGCTGTTCCTGTGCTCCCAGAGCTGTTGTATTAATGAGCTCTCTCCAAAAGATGGGTTTGGCAAGTGTAGGTCCTTTGACCTGGAGAATCCCTCTAAATTGTTTGTGTTCCTGGAAACAATGTAAGCACATCCAGACAGAGTGTGCCTGGCTGTTGGGGGGCCTGAGGTAATGGGAGAGGTGAAGAACTGTGCTGCTGTTAGATGTACAACAGCCTGAAGGGTTGGAAGTGATGTGGTGCTAGGTGAGAAAGAAAATACAGAGAATTTTGACGTTTAAAACCTTCAGGCCTGGCTGCCATGATCTCAGTAGCAGGACGCAGGGAGGCCTGGGATATCAGTGACATTTTGTTGATGGAAGAGAATGGGGAGTTCTAAGAAATGTGCAATTCTTACTCAGGGGTCAGTTTTCCTGCTCATGTGGTCTCTGGAGAATATAATGAGCTGGGAAGGGTGACTTTCTGCAGGGTGACTGTCCCTTCCCTGAGAGCACACAGCAGCTGTCCCTCACTTCATCTGAGCAGAGCAAGTAAAGCTGCAGGCAGATGGGGTGTTTGTTTCTGAAGCAGTGCAGAGTTTTCTTCTCCTTGCATTGCTGAGATAAAATGTCCCCAACATTAAGAGGTTGGAAAACATTTTCTGTTTTGGTGCTGTCCCACCATAATGTGCTTTCACTGCAGGGTTGAAGCGTGGCCTATGTCTGTTAACGTTTTTATTTTTTTCCCTTTCTCAGTAGTGCCATTGTGTCTCTCTAATGAGCCCATGGTTCCATGTTAGTGGTTTAAAGGAGGCAGTGTTGATGTGTGCACCGTGGCCCAGGCAGGTGTGCAGCTGGGGATCTGTCCTTGAGCACCGACTCCAGCTTTTATCAGCTCTTCTCTCTTATCTGGGCAAGATCGTTTTGAGCCATTTGCAAACCTTTTGTGCTTCCAGTTGGTTAACAAATGGTGATAAAAACTGTGAAGAATAAATCCAAATTGTGTTTTGAGGAGCTGTGAGGGTGGGTCTGCTGGGGCTGTCAGACCCTCAGTGATGGTGCCAGTGCTGCTGCTCTGCCTCCCCGTGTGGCTGATGGTAGTTGGTGGTTCCTGTGCCTCAGCTTTCATCTACACAGCAAGTCTTCTCGATTCCAGATTTTTCTTCTCCATTGTGTTTTAAGTCACTGGTTTTGTCACACATTAAGTAAGTTTACATTTAGGATTAGTCTCCACAGTGTAGCAAGTGCTTAAAGCCCTAAGCTGCTTAGTGGGCATGGAAGGAGCTCTGGCCTCTTCAAATCTTGTTTTTACAGTTGCTGTAGATAAGTTTGGGCTGTTTTTTTGTTTTTGTTGCTTTTGTTTTGCCTCTGATTCAAGCATGGAGGAAAATGAGCCCTCAGTTTGTGTTAAAAAGTAAGGTAGTCTCTGTCACTCCTAGGTTGTCTTTTCCTTGAGCACTCGTTAAGAGGTTGTTAGAAGAAATGAGATTTAATGGATATCTGGTTCAAGCACAGCAATGCAGTTTTCTGGAAATAATGGAAAGTTGATTACACTTAGGCTTTTTTATCCTATTTTTCTTTGTAAAGAAAGAGTCCAGCAATAGTTGTTAGTGCTTTGAACTAATACAAAACTCTTGGCTGTAAAAGTATCTGGGCATTAGCATTTTACAAGCCTAATGGGATTTTAGCATTCAGTCAGGATCTCACTGATGTTTATTATCAGCTTACAGCTCAGTCTGCTTTCTATGCACTAAAATTACCAGAAACTGATAAAGCTTATAGGAAAGATTTGTTACAGAAGTTTTTCTGTAGTACCAATGCCAAATGTTGTGTAGGTGATGCTGGTAAATCCCTTCACCTTGTTTATTTGAAAACTGGTTTTGTTTTTAAATACCTGCACCAAACTTGAATAGAAACAGAACCAGAACTGAGAGTGTATAAGGTAAGTAAAAGAAGAGTGAAGTGCTGAAAAAGAGGATAGCTGGTAGGCCAGGAGTGGGCTTCCAGTGCACAGACATCAATTGTCATATATTTATTACAGTAACTAAACAAATGCTTTTTAAAATGGCATCCCCAGAGCCACAGAGATACCCCTGAGCTTTAACCTGACCTGTCCTTTGTGCATGTAAACAGGGAAAAATGGGCTTTCTCATGGCTTCTAAACTTCTGCTTTTCCTTCTGAACAGGATTTGCTGGACCATTCCTGCACATCTGGAAGTGGCTCTGGGCTTCCTTTCTTGGTGCAGAGAACGGTGGCTCGCCAGATCACCCTTGTGGAGTGTGTAGGTCAGTGTCTCCTGGCTCCTTAGCTTTGTGTAGGGCTTCAGTGTTAATTTTAAGGATTCATTAAATTTTCCATCAGCATATTTTTATTATTAATTGAGTAGTCTTAAATTTGAGTTTAGGAGGCATTTGGGTCAAAGACACCTGGAGGCATTGACATTGAGCCAGGAGGGGGTGCAGGCACTGGAGAGGTGAGGGAGCTGTTGGGGTGAAGAGCTTGGCCTGCAGACAGTGTGTCCTGATCTGTGCAGGACAGGGCTTGGTTTTGGTGGGGTTGGTGGTTTTTCTAATCCCTTTTTTAACTTGTGGGTAGGTTTGGGTTTTTGTTTTCTTTAAATCATCATTTTGTGTGTCTGCCAGGGCTGCTGATGGGATGGAAATGTAAAGGCTGTATCCCCAGCACTACATTTCCTTCCTGTCCTCCTGGCTGCAGGATTCACAGCTCTGTGGTGTGCACACTGACCTTGCCACGTGCTGCCAGAGTCAGTTCAGCTGCAGAAGCACTTCCATGGCTGGTGGCTGAATGGTGGCACCTCAGACCCCTGTGCTGCACTGGTGTGCAGGGAGGAGAGAGCCTCGCTCACAGGGAAAAGGAGGGGTGAGGAGCACGGTGTGGCTCCAGCGGTGGGAAGTGCAGGCAGGGGTGATCTCCTGGTGTGATGTCTGGTTCGTGGCAGTGGAGCTCTGCCTGCTGCAGGCTGTTTGCTCTTGACAGCTTCTCCTGTGTTCTCCCCACCAGGAAAGGGCCGTTATGGAGAAGTCTGGAGGGGTCAGTGGCAAGGAGAAAATGTTGCTGTGAAGATCTTCTCTTCTAGGGATGAAAAGTCCTGGTTCAGGGAAACTGAGCTGTACAACACTGTACTGCTGAGGCATGAAAATATTTTAGGTAAGTAGGACAAGCACGTTCTGTATCCTGGGGTGTCTGGAGTAAAGGTGAGTTACCTGGACAGGTGACCTGTGAAGCACTGCACCCTCACCTACAGCTCACAGTGTCTGGCTTCTTGTGATCAATAGCTGAAGAGAGATTTTCAGGGAGACACTTGCAGGAGGGGCTGAGTGTCAGATGGGGAATGTGCCAGAGCAGCTGTGGCTCAGTGCTCTGCAGCATTCCAGCAGGAAGCTGTTGATTAAGCAGATAATCAGGTGTTGGCAGCTGAGCACACAGACAGCACCGGAGGTGCCACACAGCCCTGTGGAAGGGACTGCTCTTGCAGCTCTGAGTCCTGCACAGGCTGTCAGGGGAGCTCTGGTGGGTCTGTGTTGGGCTGTAATCCCTGCAGACATGGAGGGAGAAAAGGTGGGGAGGAGTTTATAATGAGATTTAGGGATTTGAATACTTTTCTTTATGACTAAGTAAAGTGCAATATTAATCCAGTGTTCTCTTATGTTAAGTATTCTTCTCGGGGTGAGAGTAAGCTCTTCTGGTGTTTAAACTTCAGCTATAGCTGCATGATGTATCTTTTCCCACGTAAATAGGAAAGTAAATGAACCTTGTGCATCACTCATGGCTCATGTGCCTGGTTCTGAGAAGTGGGAAAGTGGCTTTGTTGTGCTGGGCCATGTCTGAGGTTTAAGCAGCCCTTTGATTCCTGATAGATGTGCCCTTCTGTCACTGGTGTGCCACCTCTGCAAATGAAATCAGCAGCACATTTCCTGAGTGCTGACACTGCCTCACCCGAAATCTGTCTTCAATCAGTTTTCCTTTGGCTTCTTATTCTTGCTTCCTGTCAGAGAATGTTCCCTGGCACTCTAGCTCACCCTGCTAGACATCTGTGTGTTTCCTGAAGCAGTTCCTTTCTTACTCCAGAAATAATTTAGTGGCCTCCTGAAATGTGAATTATTGAACTTCCCTTCCCAAGAGAGCAAGTGACTTAGCTGAAATTGCATTGCATATTTCCCTTGGTGCTCTGCCTGTGTTTAGTCTTTCTTGATAACTGTCAAATTTGTTTGCTATTTTAGAGACTTTTTAGATGCAATATTAAACAATATCACAGATTACAGAAATGTCACATTGTGCACAAGTCTGACTTGAGAGAAAGCAGTGGGTGTTCTTTCTGATAAATGTATGTGAGCTTTTCATAAACATGATTTGTTCCTTTGACTTGGGAATAAAACTTCTGTTGTTCCCAGCTAAAGCTGTGGAGGTCACTGTGGATATATGCAGAGGTGACAGGAAGGGAGCTTCCCCTGAATTTGGGGTTCAGTTTTAAGACATGACATTTTTGAAGATAGTTCTTGAAGTTCATGACGTTTGAACAGAAAATTTTCTCTGCATCTTTGTAGAATTCTGATCATTGTGGTTGGGCTACACATTTAACCCTTTTCTCAGCAGTCTGCATTGGCTGCCTGTGGGCTCTGAAAATGGAAATGATTGTTCATGGCTTGATGTTTGAGGTATTTCTGCTTTCCAGAGTGACCTCAAGTGGGCAGCAGCAAATGTGCTACAGACTTGGGGTCTTTCTGTTTGACTGGGAGCTTCCCCACCCCCAAGTCCTTCAAAAAAGAAGGAAAAATTAAAATATTTTTAAAGTGTGTGGTCCTAACAAGTAGTTTTTTGGTGTGACTGACAAATACATAAATAGGTTATTGTGAACAGATGTGAGTTAGAGTTGCAGCATTCGCTGGCTTTGTTTTCATCACAGCATCCCTGCAGTGCAGTTGTGATTAAACAAGTCATACATTTGCACAGCAGCACTGATTCACCTTATTGCAGAATATTCAGAGCTGGAAGGGACCATGGGGTGACGAGTGGATGTCCTGTACAGGGTCAGACCCACAGCCCTGGCACTGCCAGCCCCCTGCTCTGACCAGCTGAGCTGCTTTGCTGGGGCAGTCCTGCAGGAGCTCTGGCGCTTCATTTCCTTGTTTCTCCTCCTCGCTCTCCCCGCAGGTTTCATTGCCTCTGACATGACTTCCAGGAACTCGAGCACGCAGCTGTGGCTGATCACACACTACCACGAGATGGGTTCTCTGTACGATTACCTGCAGCTGAGCACGCTGGACACGGTGAGCTGCCTGCGCATCGTGCTGTCCATCGCCAGCGGGCTGGCACACCTGCACATCGAGATCTTCGGCACGCAGGGCAAGCCCGCCATCTCCCACCGCGACCTCAAGAGCAAGAACATCCTGGTCAAGAAGAACGGGCAGTGCTGCATCGCCGACCTGGGTGAGAGCAGCACGGAGAGCCGGGCCGGGGGGGCTGTGAGTCCCGAGTGACCCCTGGGGTGGTGTGACCCTTGGGGTGGTGTGTCCATGAGTCCCGAGTGACCCCTGGGGTGGTGTGACCCCTGGGGTGGTGTGACCCCTGGGGTGGTGTGACCCCTGGGGTGGTGTGTCCATGAGTCCCGAGTGACCCCTGGGCCGGTGTGTCCGTGACCTCTCGCTGCCCCTCCCGTGCCGGTGTTCCCCGCCGTGGCCGCCAGGTGGCGCCTGCAGCCCAGCCACGCTTTTGGGACTGCTCCTGGAGTTTCCCATTCCCGGATCCCATTCCCGGATCCCATGGATGGGTTTC